GAGAGAGAGAGAGAGTAAATATTTTGTACAACATTTACCGCAACGATGGAAATATAATTTGATCGTACTCTTCTTGTGTACTGTTTTGTACAATGTAAAACACTGGTTGTAACACAGCCGATTGAATTTCTTGACTTTCCAATTCAGCTTGTAAATACGTCCAGATGTGCTGATACCAAAGTTTCTGTAAAATTCAGATTCTATATTTAATTTAATTAAATAAATATATTTATATATATATTTTTATACATTTTATATATTTTATATATTTTTATATATATTTATTTAATTAAATTAAATATATTTTATATATTTAATTTAAATAAATATATTTATCCTCGTATCGTATACACTCTCATTTATTATTTACCTTACCTTATCTCATCTATGTTACGTTATGTTACGTTATATTAAATTTCGAGTAAATATATACACATTACCCTTGGTATGTAAGGCAATATTCCTTTCAGTGTAGTCGTATAAAAGTGCTCTTTCTGCAATACGTCTTTCATCTTGCTGACATCGAGAAATTGAAGCGCGTACACCGGTGGATCTCTGCAAAATGAAAGGGAGACCTTGCCTTGAGAATGAGTCGAAGAGGGTCCATTCCATTTCCTCGTTTTCAGCTAACGAGCTTACGTACTGGAAATATTTGATCATGGATAGAACTTGAATGGTTGGCCTCTTTTCTGGATCGACGTGCAACAATCGGGAAACGGCCTCACGAAGTGGAAGAGGGATTAGATGTAGTATCATTTCGACTTGCTCCTTGTGCTGTGCGACACGAAGGAAGCAGAAAATAATTAAATACTAAAATTGTAGCATCTTTCAGGTCTTCTACAAATTTGTCAAGCGCCGCATAGAGTTTACATATTTTTTTTTTTTTTTATCAGTTCAATGTAACCTGTATTATTCTACGAGGATATTAGTATTATTATATTCGTATCGATTAAGAAATGTTTTTTTCTAATTCCAGTTGATAGATACAGATAGGTTGGCGAATACGAAGAGATCGTCTGAAATTTTTTCTCCTA